GTTTGAACCTCCACCCTTCTGGTTAGTAGTCAAATGCCTTAGGCAGTATGCCACCAGAGCTCCTGCTTTTGGGATAGTGCTCCTTATTTCCTCATTCTCTCATCAGATGTGCTGTAAGCAAGAGATAAATATCTGGGCCAATGCAACTATCTGGTACTGTTTTAGAAAAATAGCTCATTGCTTGCATGTAAAATAACTTTTATTTTTTTCTCTAGCCACGTATATTGATTAGCAGTCATCTCTTTCATGTGATAAATCAGTATTTTTTGGCTGGAGGTCTTATAATAATATCCAGCTAAAGAAGATCAAGGAGCCCAGGTGGTGCAGTGATTAAGAGTTCAGTTACTAAAGCCACCAGCCACTCTGGGGGAGGAAGATGTGGCAATCTACTCCCATAGATGCAGCCCTGGAAACCCTACAGGGCAGTTCTGCTCTGTCTTATGGGTCAATATGAATTGTAACTGACTCTACAGTAATTGTTTTTGTTTGTTTGTTTGTTTTGCTATTTTTCAAGGTGTTTCTGTACCAAAACAAGCCAGCTTATTTCTAGAAAAATAAAGCAAAATGCAACTTTTAACGTAATTTCTCCACTAGCAAAAGTAAGCCAATCAGGTGAAATATTTCAAATTGGCTCAGGACCAATGTGAGAGAGTCATCTGAGTGCAATGTTTTAAAGTTATCTATCATGGTCTTTAAATACCTCTCTTTTTCACCAACTTTGCCATCTCATTATTTTTATGTCCTTGACCAGCCTATGACCATTAGTCATTGGCTATGAGTAAGGTTAGATCCATCTTTCAGGAACAACCAGAGGGACAGAGCTTGGACCCACTTGAACCTTTTATTTTTACACTGTATTTAGTGTCACTCTTGCATGAGACTTCATTGCAATGGTAGTCCACTTCTAGCTGTTACCATATATTGTGCAGACTTGAATTTTTTCTTCTGTAATCAGCTAAGGAACTCTGGTGGTATAGTGGATACGACATTTAGATGCTAACCAAAAGGTTGGTGATTTGAATCCACCAGCTGCTCCAGGGAAGAAAGATGAGGAAGTCTGCTTCCATAAAGATTTACATGTTGGAAACTCAATGAAGGTCCCTAAGAATTTTAATTGACTGGAAGGCAGTGAGTTTGGTTTGGTTTGGGTGACCAGCTGGTCATTCCCTATGAGATCAGAAGTTTCGATTGAATTAATTGTGTCAATGTAGCAGAAGTAGATACTGTGTGAGTCGGGGCTATCTTGTCATGCATTTTCCTTTTGCAGCCTTTACTTGCTTAAACATGATTTCCAATAAATCACTTCCACTTGATGATATATTGCTCCTATATAAGTCCAATCTTACGGTCTGGCAGATCAGGTAACACTTAACTCAACCTGGTTATCTCAGGTTGTGTAGTCACTTGGTAGCTCAAGGTCAAGTATGTAGTTGCTGCTATGGCCCAGAGAGACTACAGGCAAATTAAAAGCAAAAGTTTTCAGCAAAAGAGACTTTGTTCCAACACCACTGATGTCTATACTATGATTCTTTTAATAAAGGCTTCCCAAACATTCTATAGAGCCTCGTTATTCACCACAACAACTTCTAACACCATTGAATGGATGAACTAGGTGATCTGGACTGAATGTCAGAACAGCTTGCCCAACAGCCTAATTTGCTACAGAGCCTTTTCTGTCTCATACAAAAGCACTTCTGGGCTATACAAAATGATTTAGAGCAACACATCCAAGTGTGTAATAGACTTTGTTAAGTAAGCAAAAGGACCCAAAAAGCATTGTGCCTCTTCCTGTGTGTTAGGTTCTGCTAGATGCAGACATTTGCCTTTTATGTTAGAGGGATATTCCAACAAGTTCCAGAGCACGGGATATTTAAAAACCCAGCTGAATTGTCAAGCCCTTGAAATTTCAGTGCTTTTCTCCACCACAGACATGTACCTACAATGATGTGATCAATATTTTGTTATCAGCATGGTGTCCTGTAGGCTTCCAAAGTTGGGCCAAATTTGTGGTGAAATGCTTTAGCGCTTCCTGTGGAACCTAGCTGAAGTTGAGACCACATTACTGCTTAACCCCTTCCTCTCTGCCCTATCTTTCTTCCTTCACTCTCTTCTTAAGAACACCCTCTCAATAAATCATATGCACACAAATTCCTGTCTGAGGCACTATCTCTAGGGAACCTCATGTAGAGATGTCTGAATTTGAAAAAATACCTAAAATAAATGGAGAATAAGTGTAAACTAAGGCAGAAATAAAGTATTCTATCCTAAATATTGGACAATGAATAAGAAAGACCGAAGAAGAGTTGATGCTTTTGAGTTGTGGTGCTGCCG